CATTGGCTTCAGTGTTTTTGATGTATTCCAGCAAACGATGTGTTGATTCGCTGTTTTTGCTTGTGACGCAACATTTACGTATGATAATAAAAGAACTGATCACGCCCACGGAGGTCGGATTTTCTTTGGACTTGCTGAGCTTTGAGCAAAGCTAAGTAACAAGAATTTCTCCTCTTTGCAAAGTGATGGTTAAAAAAGCTCATTCGCTTCTGTTGTCATTGATTTAATGTTCGGCCGGGTTTTGCTGTGTTTCTCTGAGTTCCTAGGTTAAAAAACCCGAACAACAGTATAAAGCCTGTGTAAGTATGTTAAAGTTTATGCAAGTGAAAGTTTGTACTTTTGCTGAATAACAAACAAACTAGACTCACACACACCACAGAACCAAGCGTTCTGGTCTAAGCAGATGACTTGTAAGTACGGCTCACCTCCCACAAACAGACAGTATGGGTATATTCATTGGTGAACAGTAATGGAGTACATTTACTTAAGTACCTATTTTCAGTATCTTTACTTTATTTGAGTAATTATATTTTGGGATACTTATGACTTTCACTCCACTACATTTCAAAAACAAATATTGTACTTTTTACTCCGCTACATTTCTAGGAAGAGTTTAGTTACTTGTTACTTTTGGTTCAGCATAGTTTTGTAATCAGCTGTTGCTGTTTTTCTTTCTTGAAATGCAATTGGCCACACGCTACGTTCCTCACAAGGGGAACCAATCACAGTCGTAGCTCACACCTGGGATAGATTTGGAATTACATCATCTTTATTAACGGTTGCAAGCTGAGCCTGAGCTCCACCTTCATTTCAAACAGAACCCAGCAATGGAGACGGTTGAAGAAAGTAGAGCAACCAGCCTTGACCATCAGCTCAATGTTTATTTTAGGAGTGAAAAATAGTTCCTATGAGTTTAAACATCTTATGGGTTCACTGCGGATAAACTACATTTCTGCATTTAAGAACTCACCACGCACTTTATTGCATTTTTATGCTGAAGTCTTTAAGGTGGTGTAGAATTTGCAGAGTGTTTCTACGTTTCAATACATCAGGTGGTTTGTGAGAGTTACAAGGTTCTGTAAATTCACTCTGAAAACAATATAACAATGTACTGATAGTAGATATTTTAACTTGTACTTTTGAATACATAAGTATTTTCAAAAGTAAGCACTTCAGTACTTTAACTTGAGTAGATTTTTGACAAAGTAACTTTTACTTGTAGTTGAGTAGATTTGACCATAAATATCAATACTTTTCCTCAAGTACTAGAGTTGAGTACTTTGTCCACTACTGGGTATATTATACATTTCCTGAATCCTTAGAGTCCTGTGAGTATTACAGTTGTTGAGTCTTGTGGCCCTGATACCCCTGGATTGCACAGGGCTAAAAGAAATTATTTAGTTTAGGCAAAAATTGGAGGAAAATGTGTATTATTTGTGGTTTAAAGAGTTCTAGTTACCACTGTGTTGGTCAACTAATCATAGCTTAAATGAAAGCCAAGAGGGTTCCTTTTAAAATGATACTAAACACTGTATTATAAACCTTTGAACAATGTCCCTCCAGCCTAAACAAGATATACACCAGTGGCATAAATGCACATTTACTGTAGCTTAAAGGGTTAACTTCATGAGCTGATAACTGTGACTAAGCTACCACTTTAGAAGGGCTATGACATGAAAATATTATCTAAAAACATGTATATTTTCAAAAATTATGATGAAGTTTTGCCACCCTAACTATTCCACTCAAGTTAACCATCATTCCAGTTGTATTCATTTATAGTTTGCTTTCTCAGGGCTCTTAGTTTTGTTCCTGGGATGTTACATTTGTCTCCTTTTCTATTTCCTGTTGAGATTCTTATTCTCAGTGAGACATGATGTTGTCTGTTATCTGCCTCCTCCTTGTGAAATGAAACATTTGACTTTTGGAGTGCATCCATCTGGTTTCTTGTATCTGAGTTTCCCCGTGATTGAAATCACCAGGTTTCCATTTTCTTTGCTTTTGAATTGATCGTGTGTTTTGGTCTGAAGTGCAGTGTTATGTTGTGGACTGTTTCCAGCATTCAGAACAATGCTGCTGTGAAGCAATAGGCCACAAACATGAAACAGACAACAGTTTTAACTCTGACACTGAAGTTTTCCTGTGAGTTATGAGATATAAAGTAGCTTTCCCTTTATTTAAGTTTTCAGCTCAGTCCGATACTGGAAACCCCTCAGTGGCAATAATTCATGGAGCGGTATGAGGGTCAAAATTAAGGTTATTGCGCAACCAGCAATTGTTACATCCTTGTAGCAGGAGGTTGTATCTACTCCATCCATCCATCCATCCATCCATCCATCCATCCATCCATCCATCCATCCATCCATCCATCCATCCATCCATTTTCTTCCACCTATCTGGAGTCGGGTCACGGGGGCAGCAGCTTCAGAAGGGAGGCCCAGACCTCCCTCTCCCCAGCCACTTCTTCCAGCTCCTCAGGGGAACTCCAAGGCGTTCCCAGGCCAGCCGAGAGACATAGTCCCTCCAGCGTGTCCTGGGTCTTCCTCTGGGCCTCCTCCTGGTGGGACGTGCCCGGAACACCTCACTAGGGAGGCATCCAGGAGGCATCCTTACCAGATGCCCGAGCCACCTCAACTGGCTCCTCTCGACGTGGAGGAGCAGCGGCTCTACTCTGAGTCCCTCCCGGAGAAGGTTGACATTTTAAACCTTAATTAAAAATCAATATAGGGCTTCAGAATATCGATACAGTATCGGGAAATGAAATATCGCGATATTT